GGTTTATTTCTTTTTGATTTATCAATTTTAAATTAATCATTTGGCAAGTTTAGCACCTTTTCGGAATTTATCAATTATTTATTTTCTTTTTAAGTTTGTTATTTTCCTTAAAAGACCATGGGCCTTAACCTATAAATAGGTTTCTACCCTCCATTGTTTGGAACATCTTGGAATTATCATTTGAATAGAAAATTGAGTGTTATCTCAACCCTTTGCCATGTGCAAAACCCTCCTCCCGCCAAAATACGGAATCCCTTTGCGTGGTGAACTTAGGTTTTCGTACTTTACCCTCGGAGCATGCTTGTTGGTTGGTCACCAAACTCGTGGAATGTTTCCGGCTTTGACCATAGTGAGTATTATGTCTACTCAAGGTAACCGAGTGCAAAGGTAATCTGTGTAACTCTTAACCTTTCTAGTTCAAACCATCTATATGATTGGATTAAAGTGGCTTATGACTCGAGTAGCTCAATACGCTCGGGTTGTCGCATATCGTTTCATATCAGAGCATAGGCTCTAGACTCGGATATATGTTATTTTTCTGTCATTAAATTTCTTGTCTTTGTCTTAACTTTCCCTTCTTCGAAAATCTCATAAAAAGTTCATCAATGTTCTTGTCTTCAACGTGCCAAATTTTTTCTATCAAGTTTCACTTTAATCCGAGCCCTATAGCGAAAGTTATCAATTTTTCTTCGAACGCCAGATTTTGAGAGAAACTTGGAGAGAGCACAAACCAAGAGCCGATTTCAAAAATCTATAACGTTTTACTCCGAAGTCGAAATTGAGCAAAATTGGTGTCATTTGAAAGATCTCTTAGTTCGCTTTCCATAGAGCCCATAATTTATAATTTCCAATCTGTGGTTTAGGACTTATCGAGTTTTTCATAAACACTATTTTTTCTGAAAAATCCTGTAGCCACCAAGGGAATAGAGTCCCAATTTTGACGATTTATATCTCTCTGATATTTTTGTTGTGTATAGTCAAATCAGATGCTAATTTGAAGATATTTGTAAAAGCTTTCCATCGACATAAATATTGCAGCCATTCAAGGTATGCAACGAAAGTTATCGGCGAAAGAAGAGATAAAAGAGATGGTGTCCCGGTATAAAACCTTCCATATTTGTAGCTCGACAATTTTGGAGAAAAATTTTGGGCAATCTCATCTATTCCAAATCGATTTCTTTTTGGCAAGTAATCCTAATACTGTTTATTCTTTGATTTAAAAATATTGGATTATTTTTTCAACTTTGGACAGCCCAAAAGGAGGACAACCGCCTAGCCCACTATGCCACTCGAGAGAACCTATTTTTTGCAACTCAGACTTCTTTGAGAGAGCAGCCCCTCCATACGATTTCCAAACCTTTTCAAAGCCCGCATACATTTAGTACACTTATTGTACTTCAGTTTGTCACTGGTTTGAAGCCAAACTGAGCCGTACACCGCACGCACCTCTCACCTAAAGTCACCCAACTTGCAGCAAAGGTTACTGTTTTGTTGGTAAGAAAACTTTTTGTGTGTGTTTGCACTACGAGTAGGATTTGTACATCTTTTAAAGTTTATTCTTTATTTCATTGATTTTTATTGCATAGTTTTATTTGTTTAAGCTTTGACATCAATTTTCATATTGTTGTTGAGTCTTTAGAACTAAAAGCAATAGGCTTAAGGTTGTCTTTTATCTTGCCTTGTTTATATCTTGCCTCATTCTTCTTGAAATATCATTTGGTATATTTCATTCTACCATTTGTTTTCTTGTCTTTGGTATCATCTATACCGTTGACCCCATAGTAAAAAAAAAAAGAGAGAAAGTACTTTTGCATAAGTTGTTTGTAGGCTTTTACTCACTTGTTCCAAGATCGATTCGCCACGAGCAATCAAGTGAGCATCTCCAAAGGGTATCCACACCAATATCCACCCTACTAAAGTAGAGGAAGTCGAGAGGTCAAGTAAGGGAGTAACAGAGAATTTTCTTTATTATTACTAACCTTTACTTCTGTAGTGATTGCATGTAGCGCCCCAGAACTTTTTACACTATTCTAGGTAACGTTATTAATTTTCCCCTGTCAAATATCATTTTCTAAATTCGAGATAAACAATTTCCTGTGAACAAGTTATAAAACATAGTTCCAACTCAATTTAATACATCAAACTATAACAAAAATAAAACATCAATTCTATAAACTATCATTCAAGCGTCCTCCGTGGACAACACCACCAGGCAACATCCATTATTCATACTAAACGATTTCAGTGAACGAAAGAAAATGAAAGAAACACTTATTTCGAGTCAAGTTTAAACAATAGGTGGGATCTCCCCTCAATTCACTTAGAACAAAAAGGTTTATTGCCAAAACAATCATGCATAAACCATCTTAGGTGGGATCTGTTGGTAGTGTCGGCCCCTGACCATTTTTACCCAGAGCCCCGACACTAGTGCATCGACCCTCGACCATTTATACCCGAGGCCTTGACACACATCCATTCACTTCATAACTTCCAAAACTCCACATATCATTTCTAGCCTCCAACCAAGATTCCAGTATTAATTCCCTAATAACACCAACCACCACAACGCCCATCAACAACACAACCACTAGTAAGATTTCAATGCATCACGAATCTCCATAACACAAAATTTGATAACAACCAACCTACTCACAACATAGAGCACACTAAAGCTTCAACGAATAATCCTATGGCATGTTTCACATAACATACTTTTCACATAGCAGTTCAGAAAACTTTCAAGAACACGCCCAACACAATCCATCCAAACACTTAATATCCAACATCTATATTCAATAAGCATTACTAGATATAATAAGACTCATGAGACACGCCAAACACTTCATACAAATTCAGACAACAAACATTCCCAAAATAAATTTACTTTAACGAACATTCCCTACAAACATACATCATTCTACAACAGATCTCAGCAGCTCAACAATACAAAATTTCCACTATTATCACCGACGGATATTCAACACTACCCAGGCATACGAACCAACATAAACAAAAGTTACACTGCACAAGAACGTATCAGAACCAATATTAAACATCATAAACAGTACATCGGCAACCAAATAATAAACATCAACGCACACACCCGCCCCCGTGCTACTTACAAACAAGTGTCCTAAAGCTCCTAAGCTCGTTGAACACTTCCTATAACAAAAAGAGCACGATTTCGAGGTTAGTAACCAATTAGAAGCACTTAAATATAATTGAAATCGAGTCTAGGTGAGTCGTTACTTACTAACTCTCACTGAAACAACTTGGGTTTGAAATGGGTAGACGCCAAGGAGGTTTCAGGCTCCCAAATTCGAGTTCGAAAAGCGTTAGGCTGGCTGTCTTGGCACAAAGAGCGATGGGTAACGCCGATTTGGGTCCGAATAAGAGTGGGTCAACGTCAAAACGTGTCGAAATGAAGAAATTGTCGTGGATTGCTGCTGCTCGGGGTGCTGGCCGTGGGGTTCGAGGTCGTCGGTCGGGAAAACGCACCGCTGGTCGTTGGAGAACGCCATGTTTTGTACCTGCCACGCTGGAACTGTTCAACACGAG